CTCATGCCAAATTTCGTGAAAATACCTTGTCAAATGAAAGAGTTTTCCATACAAGTCTTGGTTCTGATTGTTGAGTTTTAAGATTTTGCTCACGTCCTCCGTAATTTTATTGAAAAAATCTTGTTGCTTCCATCTGCCTGTGCTCACTTCAGAAATTAGATCATCTAAAAATCATTCATCTAAGTTCGATTTTAGTCATTAAACTGCCATTTTTGTTGACTAGTTCGTTGCTTCACGGCGGGGGAAAATCAAGTTAGTAAATATATTTATAGAATGTTCGCTGTTTATAGTAAGTTAAGTAGGTGTAGAGACCACGTACGTGGCTTTAAATTTTCGACTGCCGCAACTTTGAAGCGAAAAGCACATATACATAAACTTTTGCCACGTACTGTATACAAATACACATACATATGTTATTGCCTCTTACTTGTGTTTGTGTGTTTAGATTTTTACTGTGGCTGCACGCCCGCATCTATGTGAATAATCTACCGATCATAATGACGGTAGCATCAATAGCATCATTACTGTAGCATAGCATCAGCCACCGCAAGTTTGTCAACGCCTTTTAACTACCTTATTTACAAACATATGTACCATACGTAAAAACATGAGCTTGTTTGTTTTCGTTTTCTAATTTTTTGTTTGTTTTTGTTTTCGCTTTTAGTGTGCTAGCATATGCTAATCTGCGAAATATATTTACATACATACATGTATATGTTTACTTCAATGTTTAACTCTTTGTTTATTTGATTTTCAAATTTCGTGCCTCCTCCATTTCTTTCGATTTACTTTAGCATTTGCCTTTTGGTTTATTTTGTTTGTGTTTTATGTATATTTAGGTATTTATTTTCATTTATATTTGATTTAGTTTTATTTGTCTTGTATCTATCACACCTGCTTTGTATTCCACTTGCTCCAAGTCACACCCTTTTGAGCTTCTTATGTACCGACGTAGGCTTCAACTTGATAGTCATCGATTTATGTTTGTACTACTTACATATATATATATGTGGATGTGTCTTTATAGTCACCACATGTCGCTAGTAACGTGAAGATTTTGTTGCTTGTCATTTTCACTTGGCATTACACTTCACTTGAAAGTTCTTGCACGTGGTGCGAGCATTTTGATTTTTAAATGACAATTCGTTGCGCTGCAAACTGTCAACTGTCAATTGATTTGCTTGTCATTACCAACAAGACATAATTATGTATACCTTTTGTACATATGTACTTTAATACCTTGGAAATAAAAAGTATTAAAGAAAGTCATTTATAATAAATAGTCTGTTTGGATTGTGATTCGCAATTTTTTTTTTCATATTACCAGACAGGCTAAAAAGTTTGTAATGTTTCTCGGAGGTTGTTGGGTGCAAAGTAGTCACTGGAGAGAGCTTTTTTATGAATGAACCAAAAGCCAAGCTCTAGTTTAAGGCTTCTTGACCATTGCAGCGCTATTCAAAGAGACATGACTGCCATTAAGATATCAGCAGATCTATTGCTCCGACAACCTCCTTATCGATATGAATATCCACTCAAATAACACAGCGACTATATTAGCCTTGAGCTAATCGATATTGGCATCGAATTATATAATAAAAGTTGGATCAGTTTATGTACCAGGTCACACCGGAATCGCAGTATATTGTAAAACCGATGAGCTTGCAAGGTTATGAAATACAGTTTCACTTGCAGGGGATAATGGAACAGTTCGGAGCCCGTCTGTACTCCTGTATTGTTGAGTCTCACGCGAACTTGGCCGGCACTGTTCAAATCTCATACTTTCAGACATCCAGGTAAACAGATGATCAGGCGGGAATATAATTATAAAATATATAATGCCTGAGCAGATTTGTGATTGGTTCAAGGCACACTGTCGAAACTCAAAATCAGTTGAATTTCGTGAATGAGTTTTTCTGGCTTTAGAAAAGACTGTCCCTAAACTTCCAATTTACTTGGTTTTTTGCCGTTCCGAAATGTTGGTATTAAAGCTTTTTACAACTTGAATCTATCTTGTAACAAAATTGATTAAATGGATTGAGAAATACTGTTTTCATAAAGTGAAAAAGTGCTATCGAGAGTTCTTTCGATTTTGTCTAGCATCGCTCGACCTTTATTTCATATGTTTTTCTTTATGCAAAAAGTTCTGACCATTAGTACGAGTCGAGCAGTGAAGTACCTTATATGCGAAATATAAGAGGTGCTTATAGGCTAAAGAGGTGGGTGGGATATGATGTGGTGGGCTATAACTTTATTGATTGAGCATAATTTTCAACGTATATCAATAAGAGTTGTAAAAATGTTTGAAAAAATACAAAATACGTTTATGCGCTTGTTTTGGGCCGAGCAAGTTTTTGAGAATGGTGGACGAATACTAAATTTTAGTTGCTTTTGGTTAAAACTTCACATTTTAAGTCTTTGAAATTATTGCATTTTTATCTCTTTTCACTTTTATTACAAATACATTCTTATAAAGTTGTCTCATCCAAGGTAATATACAAGTAAATCTTAATATTATTGCAATTTCAGCGATAGTCCCTCCATGCAAAATGCAAACAATAAAAAAAAATATATAAAAAAAGCCAACAAAATCGTGCTTGCCATCCATTCTTCTGCCATTTTGCACAATATAAAATCTCTCAATTTTTCATGACAACAATCATCAATAAAGTGTACATAAGATCCGCACTTAAATGGCTGGTGGCAACGGTATGAAGACGAAATCTGTTGCGTGCGCTGCATTGTTTGGACATTTGAAAAATAGACTGCCTGAGCATTAACTCAATCTACCGTTGTCGGCTACTACGTTTTTCATGTTTGCCATTATTCTTGCACTTCCTATGGATCTCGCTCTCCCTCCTACTCCACTCCACTCCAATTTGTTATCTACAGTTGCCGGCACGTAAAAGGAGGTTTGTTTTTTGAGCGGTGCTGGCACCTCCCACCTACTTCATCTTTCAGCTGTTGTGCCCTGCCGGCCAACAAAGGGAAAGAAGGAGGCAGCAAAAAATAGGCCAATTCGTGCAATTTGCGTGTGTATATATGTGTAATTGTGTGCCTGAGTGTTAACAAGTGTATGCGGCTGCCTCACCTAGGCACGAATCGAACCTAGATTATGTGGCCTATTAGTCGGCCTACACTACTTTGCACTTACTGTCTATATACACTCGTTTGTGTTTCATTGAAACGTTTGCATGAGGTATGAGCGCTCTGTTACAAGTATGTTAGTTTATGAAGTTTTTGCTTGAATTTTGAAGTAATTTGTATTTTGTTGAATCGACAGTAGGTGTAGGTCTATTTTCTCTTTTGATTTTTATAATTGCAAATACTTTCTCTTTACAGTCTGCAAAAATAGAAACTTCAATTTTGATCAATTACATTTGACTTTCAAAAACAAATATGCGAGTTATTATTTAGTAAATTCCAAAATAATGCAGACTTATGAATCGTATACGACTATAAAGAAAAAAAGAAACTAAGTCTAACCTCAATTTATTGTAATAAAGATTCAGCTCTTTCTCTATTACAATAAGTTGAGATGGTTGATGGAGAGTACAGAGAAAAAAAAACCGAACCAATTAACTAACTTGAATAATGTGTCACTCCCAGTTTCGTTCTCGAACTTGGATCATTAAGTCATTATAGTAATAATTTGATAATGTGCTACTAGGAGGTAGGATTGTTTGAGGATCCAAGATCTATGACTGGTATATCTTCTTGAGCCATAAAAGTGGTTTGACAACTGCTCTCACTATTAGGTGCTCGAATAGCATTTAGATATTTGCGATATCTCGATATGCTCTATATGACAATTACTTGATAGTTTTGCATCCTAAATTGACTTGAAGATAAAGTTTTCAAAAATACTCCGAAACAAGTTAGCTAGTTCGCCTCGGCTTTTACTAATGCCTACATATCTCCAACTCTTTTGTCAGTTACCGTTATATTTTTTCTAAAAGTGTTATTCTGAACCATTTGCCCATTTGTCGAATGAAGCGTCTTCAGAGTTCAAACTTTTTTATTGTTTTATACTTTTCGTATACTCGTGCCACGTAATCAATCTTTCTTTATCGTATAAAAAAGTTCTGTGAATACTTTTTTTACCACTACTAATAGGACTTTGCAAACTAAAGTGATAAAAAAAAATTAAAATAAATGCCTAAATATTATTGGAAGTACTTTTAGCGCTTAATTTTATTATTTTTGAGCTTAAAAAAACGGTTGGTTAACGTTTTCTTTTGCATTTTGATTGCAATTGACAAATCAAAGTTTAATTCGACAACGGTATCAATGTATAATTACATACATACATACGCAAAAGTCAAAACTTTGAATTGAATACAACACCACATAATTGTGTGGGCTGTTTCTAATGTCAAAATAATAGTATTCGACTTTCTCAACTGTCACACCAATGATGCTAAACAATTTTCTTGAATGCAACAAAGCAAAGATATCTATTTGAATACATATAGAGTCCTAAATCTAAAGTACACATACATATTTAGATAAGTATCTTCAATACATATTTGGATAACAATCTGCGAGCGCAACAGCAGAAAGAAGAGCAATCCGACAAATGATTTGACAGTTTGTTTACCGCATTGTCGCTTGTGATTGACAGCATGAGCAAGCATTTTGTAACACTTAACCCGCATAGCTGCACAGATACGCTGCAAGTATATTGTATGCATGAATATGCAAATACAAAAACAATATAATATATTCATACAAAGTCGGTGTGTGTAATGTGTGTGAAGATATGAGTCAAAAGTCATTTGTAATTTTCGCTAATGACTTTTGCTAACGGCATTTGAGGTCATCGCTGAGGTGAGTGAAAGTCAAATTGTTTTTTATAAACTTAATTGTATATACCTACATACATACATATATGCATTTATATTCGCCCCTTTCATCACGTGCAATAATTTTAAAATATTGTAAATTAATTCCATTAGCACTTAATCTTCAATAATTTTCCTCTTCTTCCTGTTCTTTTGCAGATAAATTTACGTTTAATACTCGTTAGTGGCAAAACAAAAGAATTCCTATTTAATCCATCAGATTCTGCTGGTGATATCGCACAAACAGTATTCGATAATTGGCCTGAAGGTGAGTGACATATCAATACATACAATACAATATGTGATTTCGTAGTTATTGGGGTGGCTTGTAAATTAGTCAGCATTTTAGATTTTGCTTTATAGCTGATAATTCTAATCTGTATTTTAGATATGATATATTAGTAGAGTTTCAGCGTAGGCATATTTTTGTAAACATTTCTGAGTGGTTTCTGGCGTCCATATTTTGCTCAGATTATCACTAGCTATTGGGTTTTTTGCACTCAACAATCTTAAGTGTGTTTCCAATCACTTTTATGATAACATAAATATACGTTTTTGAAAATTATAAATATTTTTTGTGAGATACGGAAACGGGATATATCGTAAATACATTTACACCATAAACATATTTACAAAGAGTACTCAAATATGTTACAAAAGTTATCGGACAAGCGACCAGAGGGTATTATTTTTTTAAAAAGTGTGCATCAATACAGTATATACATATACAAGTCTCTTACAGCATTCCTGTAGTATTAGTACTTCTATTTATTCTAAGCGAGTAGAAAAAAAACTCACTAAATAACAAAATAGGTACATACAAAATCCGCTATTTTCTCTGAATGAAGCGGGGTTTGTTAGAAAATAAGCGTCTTCAAGTGTTGAGTGTTTTTTCACAATTGTTTACAAAACAACGAACCTTAAGTGAATGGAGTTTGGTTCTAAAAAATGAAACCTAATGAAAAGTTTGGCAGATCTATCTTAATCATGATCAGCCATCCTACCTAGTATAGCGATTTTATAATGAATGGTTTTGTATTTTGCTAAATTTCCCTCAATCTTGGTATAGTAATCGTTTGGATTGAATGTGAAACTAAAAATATATGGCTCTTTGCTTTCACAATCTGGTTCTGTTTATTTATTTTGACTTTGAATGCTGAATGAGCATCACTCAGACATCAAAACATGCTGCTTACGTCAAATTTTTAAATTAAAACATCTGAAATTTACATTATATAAAAGAATATGTCAGAAATTTAAAAGGCTACTTTGAAAATTATTTTTTATTTCGTAATAATCGATTATTCCTTATTAACTGTTGCTTTATATTGTCAGGGCTCCTAATTGCTTCTTGTTAAGAAATAATCTGTATAACTTTAAATTTAAGATTCATGTTTCACAATAATCCTTATTCTTATTTTATGATATTGTACTCCTGTTATATTAAATTACTGCTACTGCTGAGGTACCACCTGTTTTTATGATTCTGATACTGTAACAGCCAATCACCCGCAATTTTAAAATCGTCAATTCCATATAAGTAATCTTGTTGGAGAAGATTTATCACGCTCGGGATCCTAATTATCGAAAATATCGATAAAATAATGGACATCGTCGAGTCCAACCATCATGTAAGCGCTGGGGATGGACCAAAAAATAATTAGGTACCGTTTTAATAAGGCTGTTAACAAAAAAAAGCTCGAAGCTAAAAAAAAAAATTATCGTTTGTGATTTGCTGCTTTTCATTTGTGATTTGCTGCTAAATCGAATGGTTACTGTGTGTTAAATGTGTGTCAGTTATGACAACTTAAAGTAAAAAAAATGGTGATAGAATCGCGAAGAACCGGCGCAAACGGTGGTCAAGCCAGGATTGACGGCTATTGCGCTACTCTCCAGTGTGCAAACTCTTAATTTGGGCCTATACTGTCAAAAACTAAACCGTCCGAAAGAAACAGTCGCCCAAAATCGGCCAGCCTTGGTTAATAAGATAAGCGGAAATGTGTTCCATCAGGACAACGCTAGACCACATACATCGATAAGATAATCGCATGTAGTCTGTTGGCAAGTAATTGCGGATTTCACTCATAGATGGCTTCAGTTGAATTTTTAGGTTTGCTGTCCAAATATAAAACACATTTTGTTATTTGATAGTTGTCAATTCAGCTGTCAATTAGTAAAAAAAAGTTTTTTGATCGGTTGCGTAGTTTTCGTTTGGCGTACGTTGAAAAATGGAAGATCAAAATTAACATTTTCGTCATATTTTGGTTTTTTTATTTTCGCAAAGGGAAAAACGCATCGCAAGCTCACAAAAAGTTATGTGCTGTTTATGGCGACGAAGCCATAAAAGAACGGCAGTGTCAAAATTGGTTTGCCAAATTTCGTTCTGGTGATTTTTCACTTAAAGATGAAAAACGCTCTGGTCGTCCAGTTGAAGCTGATGACGACCTAGTCAAATCAATAATCGATTCGGATCGTCACAGTTCAACACGTGAGATTGCAGAGAAGCTTCAGGTATCACATACATGCTTGAAAATCACTTAAAACAACTTGGCTATGTTCAAAAACTCGATACATGAGTTCCTCACGAACTGAAAGAAACGCATTTAACGCAACGCATTAACAGCTGCGATTTGCTAAAGAAACGTAAGGAAAATTATTAATTTTTAAAACGAATGATAACTGGCGATGAAAAATGGGTTGTTTACAACAATATCGAGCGGAAAAGATCGTGGAGGAGGCCAGGTGAACCAGCTCAAACAACATCAAAAGCTGGTATTCATCAAAAGAAGGTTTTGTTATCAGTTTGGTGGAATTATAAAGGAATTGTCTACTTTGAACTTACCACCAACCGAACGATCAATTCTGTTGTCTACATTGAACAACTAACGAAATTAAACAATGCAGTTGAAGAAAAGCGGCCCGAATTTATAAATCGAAAAGGTGTTGTATTCCATCATGACAAGGCAAGGCCACACACATCTTTGGTCACTCGGCAAAAATTAATGGAGCTTGGTTAGGATGTTTTGCCACATCCTTACCTTGCACCATCGGATTACTTTTTGTTTCGATCTTTACAAAACTCCTTGAATGGTAAAAATTTCAATAATGATGATAATGTCATATCGTACCTGATTCAGTTTTTTGCTAATAAAAACTGTTTTTTTGCCAATTGGGTGGAGTGTTTCTATGAGAGAGGGCAACATAAAAATCTTAGTCTCCTCTTAATATAGCAATAATTCTGGTAACAAATGACTAGAGTTTGTACCTAAGATCTCCTACTTAAGCTTCTTATCAATTAATAACTTCTGTAAAGTAAGATACAAACAGACATTTTCAGTTGAACTTTTCTCTAAAATTACCACATCTTCACATGCTTGCCGTATATAAAATAGTTTAAGTTTCTTGTTTCGTACGTTGTCAACAATCGTCTGTACCGCACTATTATTCATTGAATCAACATTCGAGGACGAACAAAGACACTCGCAATTATTTATAATCTTAACACAAATTAATTGACGCACTTTGCTATCCACCAGCTGCGACAGGAGGCAGCAGTAACACGTATTTACAACTGTTATAGCTTCAAAATGATTGTCTTCTGCAGACTCCCTATATGTCGGGCGTTCTTTCTCTCTCTTCTCATGTTTGATGCCACGGAACAGACGATTGATTGCTGTGGGACATGAACTGATATGACAGCAAAAACAACAAATAAAGAAATTGCATCAATTGCCAGCATGTGTGTTTGTGTGTGTGGAGTATAACTGTAGCAGCTAGGTCAAAGTAGAGCACAAATGCGTAAAATGCAATAAAGTGCTGCGAATAGCCGGTCGGTCGGTCATCTTCATTGCGCTGGACACTGCTGCTGCAACAAATTCAATTAGCATGCATAACTCGAAGAATGAAAATGTGTTACGTTGCAGCAGCCGGCGAGCGCCTGACATGAATTACTGAAGATGCAATGAAATGTGCACAGTGTGTGATGATGTGGCCACTTAGGTTCTTAAATTTTAAAGTGTTCAATTGATTGTTGATTGTTGTTTACAAAGAAAATACTCTGAGGGTGTACTATCTTGATAGTGACTTAAATAAAATAAAATTTAAATATATATATTTTATTACTTAGTAAATAGGTCTTTTAACCACCCAATCTCATTTTCGGAATAACCATATGATAACCTATTTGATCAAATTTCTCTACTAATGTTATATTTCCATTACCGAAAATAGATGATAATCAAATTCTTGGAATATGGAGATAACTCAGGATCTCAGACAATACCCGTATTACAGGTTTTTGCGTATTGCAAAACTATTTAGTGTATCTGTGGTAAAAATTTTATAAAATACTTTTTTAATAATTTTTCAGTACAATATCCAAAAAGTATCAGACTCTTCAAATGTTTAGCGGACAATACTTATACGTTCTATCAGGGATAAGGGAAGCCCAACTAGTTCCAGTGGGAGAGCGCCTCAAAATTAGCTTTTTTTATAACATTTTCCATTGCAGCCAGATCGGACAAAATCATAATTTTTGGGAATTTAAATTTAAATACCCAACATTTTTTAAGATTAAATATTATTATTCATGTATCCCTTAAACATATGCAGAAACTATTTAAACGCCTCTTTTGTGATTTTGTAATATATTAAAACAATTGATTTTTGAACTTTCAATACTTAATCAACAGAATAAATGTATTAGCTCTCAATTAATAAATGTTTTTTATAATTTTCAATTGAAAATTAATACTACTAAGCGTGGCATCACAAAAGATTTCATCACATACATTTCAATTTCGCGTTTCCTTTAATTTTCTTTATTTTCCAATTTTTGTTGGTGATCTTCAACAGTAGCAAAATATCTCTCTGTTCACATATTTTTTTGTAGGATTTCAATCTGGCCGTTCCTCTTTTTCCAATTAGTAAACGTCAGACCTTTTGACAGTTGCCTGAGTATAGAAGATTTTGACGTTTAGTAATTGCTCTCTCATTTCCAGTGAGAGATGAGTTGGGTATCTCTTTACCTCTGCGTTCTATACTGCAAAGTTCTTTCGTAGAGAATTCATTGCTGCGGATATTTGCTTTATTACTTTTCCATAGATTCGAAGTGCTACTAAAAATTTTACGAAAGGAGGGTATTACGTTGAAACTTGTGAACTGAATTAGGTTTCGGAGTTCAGTTTGTCTTTCAACCTCAAGAGTTATTTTCACATACTTGCTTTAGCTTTACTAAATCTGCATGATTAACCGTCGTTTTTTTTTACA